AAGACACCAGATCCCCTGGAACTGAAGTTATAGACAGTTGTGAGCCATCAGGAGGGTGCTGGGAACAAAACCTGAGTCCTCTTCGAGAGCAGCCAGTGCTCTCAGCCGCCTGGCCCTCTCTCCAGCCCCCACTGTGCAGGCTTTGTTGTGGCATAAAAATAGCCACACAAACCACTGAGACTCTGGTCTAAGCTAGGGATGGTTTATTAGAACGCCTCTCCAAGCTGATCGATCAGGACTCGGGGGCCTAACTGTGACCTCTACAAGAGCTCACAGCAGGGTTTTCATAGAAAAATAACCAAGTGCAAGAGACATGGTAAGGGCAGTACAAAGCAATATTACCTCTTTGGCTAACTAGACAAAGTATTGTGAGCTAGCCTTTAAGCTGATCGGTTCTAGGTAAGTGAGGGTCTTCCAGAGCACAGCCCAAGTGCAACTGAGTGCAACCAGGCGTATAGATACCACAGTGCAACCAGGGTGGAGCCAAGTATGCCGATAACCAAGTATGAGTTATGACACTGTTGAATCATAGAAAGTATATGGCCAGCAAGAAACAACCGCTTCCAGGAAGCAGAGCTGAAAAGTTTAAAATTTTCAACTTATTTTCACCTTAGAAACAAAATGGAAGCTGAATACAAAGATGGCTGCAGCCTTGTCTCAAATAGCAGGCTGCAACATATTTTAAAACAGAACAAGGTTTGTCACCTGTGTTGGTGACCCTGGCCTTTAATTCCAGAACGCTGGAGGTTCAAGGCAGCCTGAAGGGGATCCTGCCAATCAAAAAGACAAGACAAGAGCTTGGCAGTGGTGGCACACTCCTTTAATCCCAGCACTTGGGAGGCAGAGGAGGCAGGCAGATCTCTGTGAGTCTGAGGCCAGCCTGATCTACAAAGTGACTCCAGGACAGCCAGGGCTACACAGAGAAACCCTGTCTTGAAAAACAAAAACAAGCAAAAAGACAGAAAAACTGAATACACTAATCTAGAACACCTCACCTCTGGTAAGACCTCAGTGAAACGGCATGAGGGCACATGCCTGTAATCCCAGCTTGAGGGATGAGGGTGGGGAGACAAAAGAACTGAGGCAGATTTAGGTAGAGAGCAAGTTCATGGCTAGACTGGGCCACAGGTACACTATCTCAAACAAGTGTACAATGAGGTGGGCACTGGGGTTGGGACATCAGGTAAGTAACCTTGGAAACAAGGTCACACAGCAAGGCCCCGGAGAGCTAAGGACTGGTCTCAGAGCTCCCCTCCCTCCCTTCTGTAATAGAAAAGTCCACAGTTGGCAAAAACTCCCAGGACAGTAATAAGCACAAGGGATGGTGTTCTTCATGACTTAGGGTTTTCATTCTAGAAGGAATACAAATATACATACATGAACACCCCACAGAAAGGAGGAGGGGGGAGGGAGGAGGAACTTCAGGGTAAAGGACGTATTAGCCAGCCTTGTACCCCATCAACACAGACCCAAGCTAGAAAAGAGCAAAAGGAGTGAGGGGCTGGAGAGACCGTCCAGCAGCTAAGGCTGCACACTGCTCTTGGAGAGGACCAGTTCAGTCCCCAGCACCCATTTCCGTGGCTCACAACTTCCCCTAACTCCAGCTCCAAGCTCTGATGCCCTCTTCTGTACTCTGGGAGCTCCCATACTCATGAGGACATACAGACATATACACACAATTAAAAATCATTTTTTAAGTGAGAGGTGCTCTAGACAGGACAGGAAGGAAGTGTTACTTGTGGGAGGTGTGGCTGTTTGAGCGACAGCCAGACGCCTGTGCGAAGGAAGCTGTCATTGGGGGTCCTAACCAAAAGTCTGGTGTGTCAGGGAAAAGGCTCAGAATGAAGATATACGCTGGAGCGTCATTAATATGTAAAAAGTATAAGAATAGCCTAGGAAGAAGAGAAGGGACCTGAATAGCGAGTCTAAGGCCGTTCCAACATGTGAAGCCAATGCGAAGCCAGAAAAGAAGCATAGAATGTGGTAGAGGGACCAGGACAGCAGGGAAGCGCGATGTCATGGGACCAGATAAAATATGTTGGCAAAAAGGACAGAGTCAGGGCTGCAGAGAGGGCTGTGGTTTAAGAGCACTGGCTCTCTTCCAGAGGTCCTGAGTTCAATTCCCAGCGCCCACACGGTGGCTCATGACCATCTACACACTCTACTGCCCTCTTCTGGCCTGCAGGTACATGCAGCTAGAGCACATATTCATATATATAAAATAAATAAATCTTTTTTTTCTGTTTTTTAAGGACAAAGTTGGGGGCTGGAGAGATGGCTCAGCAGTGAAGAGCACTGGCTGCTCTTCCAGAGGTCCTGAGTTCAATTCCCAGCAACCACACGGTGGCTCTTGACTATCTATAATGGGATCTGGTGCCCTCTTCTGGCGTGCAGCCATACATGCAAATGGAACACTCATGTATAAAAAAAAAAAAAAAAAAAAAAAGACAAAGGGCCTGGAAAGATGGCTCAGTGGTTAAGAGCATTGGCTGTTCTTCCAAAGGACCTGAGTTCAATTCCCAGCACCTACATGGCAGCTCACAACTGTCTGTACTGCCAATTCCACGGGATCTGACACTTTCACACTAATGCACATAAAATAAAATTTAAAAAAGACCAAGTCTTCATCATGTAAAATAAAGACCGTGAAATAAAGAGAGGCCGTGTAAAATAAAGGTGCAGATATACCCGCCGGAATGGCTGCACAGAGCTCTTTATGGTTGCTGTACCGGTAGGTCCAGTGGGCAGGTTTGTCCAGAAACCTGAAAGGAGTAAATGTTGCATTTGGATAAGAATGACAGATCACAAGACAGCCATGGTGGCTCACATCTTTAATGGCAACACTTCGAAAGCAGAGGTAGGCTGTGAGTTGGAGGCTAGCCTGCTCTACATAGAAATTTCCAGCCAGAGCTACAGATTGAGACTCTGTCTCAAAAAAAAAAAAAAAAAAAAAAAAAGGATTTGGGAAAAGAACAGAGGAGGGAAAGAGGGAAATACAGAAAATGTGGGGCCTGTGGGGGCCTGTGTGGTTCTTGGGGCGGGGGATCTGAAATGAAAGGAGCCAGCGCATCCGTGGGCCCTCCAGAGGTGGAGGTTAGCTCTAGCGGACATGACCGTGGGGACAGCTCTCCAAAGCTCTGGTGGACATGGCTGGTCAAGGGCTCAGACTGCTCCCAGGACTTGTGTCTTTCATTCTGACCCCATCAGCTTTTAAGTGATAGTTTGGAACCGAAGGGCGGAGACTGAATCAGGGACAAGGCCACACCACAGGCCGGAGGCGGGTGCCCCTCCCAGCAGCCTGCCTCGCTGTTCACTGTCCAGTGCGAGCAGGACAACACTCTGCCCATCTTCATCTGCAGGTGGAGGGAGAAGGTCTCTGCTGGCCGGCAAAGCTTCTCCCTCTGGAAAATGATCAATCGGCTCTTAACAAGGACATTAAAAATACAGCACCACTGCCGGCTGACATCACCATGATGCCAGCGCTCCCCCTAGGCTTCACGTGCGTGAAGTGACTCAGCACTCATGGCCCTTTACCTTATGCTGGAGTCAAGTGGGGAGTCAAGTCAGGAAGCTTCAAGCCGCAGAAGCCAACGAACTCGGCTTCCCCCCACATCAGCTGCCGGTTAAAGAGCCCCGCCCCCCAGTGCCTCAGTCATTCCTGAAGTCCTGAGCGTGCCAGGCCGCCTTGGCCCTGCTGTACTTGTTGGGACAGAGGGCAAAAAGTCCTCTGGAGCTTCCCTGAAGCACACTGATAGACGCTGGGAGGCAGCAGAAGCCTGTGGGAACTGGGGTGGGGGGGCTAGCCAGGCCTAAGACCAGCGGGTGACCAATGAAAGCAGGCTGTCTAGCCTAAAACAGAGTGTACTGGTATATGCCTGTAATCCTAGCACCCAAGAGATGGAGATGGAAAGTCAAGAGTTCAAAGGCAGCATTTGCTACATAGTATGTTCAAGGCCAGCCTGTATGTACTGCACTAGGCAGTCTAGAAACAAACAAACACATGACTTACAACCTACAGTCAGGAACTACACCTGCTTTTTCAAACTGGGCCACTGGCTGGGGCTCCTCCCATTTCCTCCCCCAGAACCACAGTCCACTTCCATTCCTGCCTGGGACGGTACCAGGGGCATGGCTCTCTCCACAGCTTTTCCCTGTATTTTTTCAGTTTTTCGAGACAGGGTTTCTTGGCATAACCTTGGCAGTCCTGACTCGCTGCCTCGTAGACCAGGCTGGCCTCGAACTCACAGAGATCCGATTGCCTCTGCCTCCTAGGTGCTGGGATTAAAGGTGTGTGGCTCTGCCACCAGCACACACACACTCAGACCAAGGACCAGGAAGCCAGACCCTTCACACAGTCCCTCACCTCACTGAGCCTGGGGTTCCACAGTAGCTCCCCAACCCATTCCTTAGTGGGAACCAGGCAGAGGCTTTCCCTAAGGCCCCCTTCTCAGAGCCTGAGGCCCCCGAAGCCAGGCACAGCCAGCATGGGGCTGACCTTTGGATCTGTGTTCCGCTTTTGACCCAGGGTCTGTGGCTGTTGGCCCCTGAGGCTGCAGGTGGGAATTTCCTTCTGAAAGCCTACCTGGAAAGTGTGGTTTCTCTCACTCATCCTACTCCACAACTAACAAGCCTGCTCCCCCCCCCCCTTCCTGGTCCTGACCCTGCTCCAAACATGCCAGCCTGGTGGGTGGGGTCTGTTGACCCCTATAGCCTGTCGAGGGCAGCCAGAATGCTCAGATACGATCTTCAGGTGGCTCTCAAGCCAGCTCACCTCCCAGATCCTACAGTGCCACAGTCACTGAGGCAGTTGCTCCAGCCGCAAGGTGGCCTGCCCCCCCCCCCCAGCCTCTGCACAGACAGGCCCACGTGTGTCCCCTGATGCCTGAATCACTGCTGACAGCTTGGGACCTGCTGGCCGTGGGCTCCTGGGGAGCCACCGGGGAGGGGGTTAGCGGCCACGTTGCCGCCTCCTAGGGAACACCTGCAGACATAAATAGCCAGCCCGCCGAGGCGGCAGAGCAGAGCCACCAGAGCAGGGCTGCACACCACACGGCGCCCACCTGTGCTCGCCAGGATGCCCAACGCCGCCGTGCAGTCTGCTTGCTTCCTGAGCCTGCTGGCCTTCACCTCTGCCTGCTACTTCCAGAACTGCCCGAGAGGCGGCAAGAGGACCACCCCTGACATGGAGCTGAGACAGGTATCACTGTGGTCCATTTTCCAGCTGCTGCCAGTGCCCTAGGAACCAGTCAGGGGCTAGGAGAGAGGGAAACAGTGTCAGAGAACTCGGACCGGAAGGAGGCAGCATGGCAGAGTGGACGGGCTACCCAGAAGGGTGAGAGGGGACCAGGTGCCAGGGCAGCCAAGTGAAGGACACCGTCCCTACACAGGGGATAGGCCAGAAAATGAGGGGTACTTCCTTCTAACTGGACTGGGTGCCCAGGCCTCCTCTGCACCCTGGGAGGTGGGGTGGCTCATCAGGACTCACTAGATTGCAGCCAGTCTCTGTACTGGCCTGTTCAAACCCCTATCTTAGCCTGAATTCAAGGCCTTTCCCGTCCAGCTCAGCCTCTGCTCTCTCCCTGAGCCGGGTCTGTCTCATGTCTGACCCCAGCCTCTTGCCCAGATCTCTTGCCCAGCGTTTGCAGCTGTGAGTCTGCCCTTCTGGCAGAGCTGAAGGGAATCCGGTCGCCAGGCTCAATTCTTTTCAGGCCCCAGGTGACTCAGTTTTGAGTCGTTGAACAAGCTGGAATGGGGAGGTGGGCAGCTCTCACAGTCTGCCTTCGTTTGCTGGGTCCTTTGGAAGCTTGAGGTGCCCTGTGCCCATGCACGCAGCACCCTGATTTGGTCCCCACCGCCCCTCTAGTAGGCCCCAGAAGAGGTGGGCAGGAGGCCAAGGCCCGCATGAAGCCTACCAGCTTGGGGCAGGGGTAGGAGCAGAGCCAGAAAATGAGAGCGAGGGATGGTGGGGGTGGGGGGTAAGGTAGGGGAAGAGAGGGGCTAGGGATGTGCAGGAGGACCCTCTGAAGGTCCTGGAGGTCGGAGAGGTAAGCCTCTGAGAGAGGCTGCACACCAGAGATGCCGCAGAGGCGAGGAAGGACCCCCAAGCGCTGCCCACTAGCAGACTGCCAACGCAGGTGAGGGTTTGAGACCCACCACTGAGAGGTGCTCCTTCTGACAGTTTAGCCACTTAGGTTTCCACTCCTGCCGCTGGCTACTGCTCCGGCCTGGGCAGCGCTGTCCGGGACACCCGCACGGGGAGGCTGGGACAGGGCGGCCCCAGGTTCCCAGCGCCCCTCCTGGCCTCGCTGACCAGCGGTCCCCCCCCCCCCCCCCGCCCCACCGCAGTGTCTCCCCTGCGGCCCGGGCGGCAAAGGGCGCTGCTTCGGGCCCAGCATCTGCTGCGCGGACGAGCTGGGCTGCTTCGTGGGCACCGCCGAGGCGCTGCGCTGCCAGGAGGAGAACTACCTGCCCTCGCCCTGCCAGTCGGGCCAGAAGCCGTGCGGGAGCGGCGGCCGCTGTGCCGCCTCGGGCGTCTGCTGCAGCGACGGTGCGCACGGGGCCGGGCACAGAGGGGGAAGGGGGCGCGGGGTGGGAGGGGGCGGGGGGAAGAGGGGCGCTGGGTGGGGAGAGAGGGACGCCGAGGTGGAGGGTAGTGATGAAGGGGAGGGAGGGGTGTCGGGACGTGGGGGAGGGGAGGATGGGGGTTGGGATGACGCCCCTGCAGCCGCGTCCGCCTCAGGGCGCCTGCGCTCACCGAGCCCTTCCCCCAGAGAGCTGCGGGACCGAGCCCGAGTGCCGCGACGGTTCTCCCCGCCTCGCCCGCGCTCGGGAGCCGAGCAACGCCACGCAGCTGGACGGGCCCGCGCGGGCGCTGCTGCTGCGCCTGGTGCAGCTGGCGGGGACGCGGGAGGCCGCGGAGTCTACCAAACCCCGGGTCTACTGAGCCGTCGCCCCCATCCCTCGCCCCCCCAGCATGGAAAATAAACTTTTAAAAAAACGCACCCCGGTGTCCGCCTCTGTCTCTGGTTCGGGGAGGGGAGGGCAGGGGAGGGGAAGGAGTGGGGGAGGGAGAGGCACCGGGGTGTACGCTTTCTGCTCTGCCCTGGCTAATCCTCACACCCAAAGTGCGGGCAGGACCTTACAGGGGAAGGGAAGCGTCCCGGAGCTCCCGGATACCCACATGATGCCCAGGACAAAGGCAACCCCATGCTCGGATGCAGGGAGAGGTCTGAGGCCAGGGTGACCCTGAAGAGTCAGAGTGATCTGGCGATTCCCTGGCTGAGATCGAAATAAAAAGAGAGCGTCAAGACAGTGGTGGACAAGAGAATCGGAGCAGGACATGGCGAGAGGCAGAATCAGCGAGAGTGACTGAAAGAGAGGAGACCAGCCGGGGCACCACCTCAGTCCCGTTTCCACCCCAGACTAAGGCGAAAACAGCTTGAGGGACCTGCCCTGCTTCCCAGTGCAATGTCACTTTCGCCCAAGACTGCTTGGGTGGGAGAAGCGCAGACTTAAGTGACACAGCGCCGCCTGCCTTCTCTCCAGGGGCTCCGTCTTCAGGACCCAACCACCGGAGGTAGACCCCACTGAGAGCCCAGCTACCAGTCCCCCACAGGCACGTGTTCAAGCCTCGGGAACACAGACAAGAGTGGCTGGGGGTGTGGCGCAGAAGTAGGAGGCTTCCCTAGCCTGGATTTGGTCCTCACGGAGGAGGAGGGGGAAGAGAAGGAGAGATGAGAAAAAAAGACAATAGCAGCTCGACTATAGCTAGAGACCCAGAGAAACACACAGGACCAGCAACCAGGCACGCACACAGCGGCTCGGACAGAAGTACTTCCTTCTCTTTGGTACATCCAACTTTGGGGCAAAGTTGTCACCAGTACTTTGACCTCCGTCCTCCCTTCTTATTAGCTGCTTCTTCTTCTTCTTCTTCTTCTTCTTCTTCTTCTTCTTCTTCTTCTTCTTCTTCTT